TCTGCATCTTCGCTCACCTGCATTGACTCCTCAGCACCTGGAGACAGGAACTGTGCTCAAGTATCTTACACAGCATGATGCCTTGCACTGGGTGGAAGTTCCCTAACAGGCATTGAATTGACTAAAACTAGTACTTTTTCTAGTCTAGTCTGCCTATATTCTATTTTTTCCATAATGGGAATGGGTTACACAAATCAGCATTCTCTTAAATGAATAAAGATCATTACTAGCTTCCAGGTTTTTCTTCATCAAGGAAGGTGCCTACTTCCATTTTCATCCCATGTTGTTATATTCCTATTAAAGCATTTTCTATATTCAGATCTACTCAGGGGAGGAACAGACTGAATAGAAGGAGATTATGTAGCCTCCTTTTTCTCAGTATTCTCCCTAGACATTCCAAAACATATGTTCTTTATTTTTATAGAATAATAACAACAGGTTTATAGATATTGACACATGTTGATGCTGATAAGTAAAACCTAAATTTTTTCACTGTAGTAGCCAATATTAAAAAATATTGCCGGGCTCGGTGGCTCAGCCTGTAATCCCAGCACTTTGGGAGGCCGAAGTGAGTGGATTGCCTGAGCCCGCGGGTTCAAGATCCACCTGGGCAACCTGGTGAGACTTCATCTCTACAATAAAATCAAAAATTAGCCGGGCGTGGTAGCGTGCGCCTGTAGTTCCAGCTACTTGAAAGGCTGAGGCAGAAGGATCGCCGGAGCCCAGCAGATCGAGGCTGCAGTGGCCGGGAGTGGCCACTGCACTCCAGTCTGGGCGACAGAGTGAGACTCCAACTCAAAAAAAAAAATATATATATATATATTTTGGCCGGGCTCGGTGGCTCAGCCTATAATCCCAGCGCTTTGGGAGGCCGAGGTGAGTGAATTCCCTGAGCCCGCGGGTTTGAGACCCAGGTAAGCAACTTGGCGAGACCTCATCTCTACAATAAATCAAAAATTAGCCGGGCGTGTTAGCTCATGCCTGTAGTTCCAGCTACTTGGAAGGTTGAAGCGGAAGGATCACTGGAGCCCAGCAGGTGAGGCTGCGGTGGCTGGGAGCGGCCACTGCACTTCAGTCTAGGTGACAGAGCGAGACTCCAACTCAAAAAATATATATATATATTTTAAAAATACAACCACCAAAATACACGTTCTATTTCTTACTCCCTTTCTCTTCTTCGATTTTATTCTCAATGTTTGACTTGAAACAGGCCTGAATGTGACACATGGATGCTGGGCTAACTGGCAAACCATTTCTGTGCCTACTGAGTCCACATTCCTAATAATTCATTTACTTTTTTCTTCTTTCACTATCTTACTCAACCAATACACACACAAATAAACATAAAATTAGAATACTTGGGGCTAGCACAATGCAGGAGCAGAACCAGTTGCTGTAGGAGCACTTGAGAATGACACTGAGCATAGTCACAAGATGTCAGAGAAGATGGCAGAAAACAGGAGCCCAGAGAGATCTAAAAGATGAGTAACTATCTAGTGAAAGAAATGAAGGGTAGGCCCAGGAGAGTGTCTAGGCATCTGGGGCATCAGACACTCGCATCCAGGATGCTAATTTGGAATGTAAATGTTGTCAAAGACTTATGAAAGTGGATGCAAATCTAAAGAGAGAACTTTTTAGAGTGAAATGCAAGGCCTACAGCAAACCTGTAGGGAATGCCAACAAGGAATGGAGGGAGCTGCCAGAGAGGGATGAGAAAAGCAGAGAACATGCCGGTGTCACGAAGGCTACATGGAGACCCCTGACCATGGGGCCCACATCAGCAAGGACCCTCTATGCCCCATCTTCAGTCTTGAAATGATAGAAGGGCTTTTGAGGTAGAGAAATGCATATGCCAAACCAGAAAGTCATAAAATTACATGATGTCTAAAGGAATAATGAACATCATTATAAATAGAATGTAAAGAAATAAAGCTGAAAAGAGAAGTTGCATCTAAGAGACAATATATACCAAGATAAGCAATTTGAACATTATTCCCAATACAAACAGAAGAGTGGAAATAAAAATGAAAAAGAAGAGTTTATCACTTTGGATTATAAACCATATTGAACTAAATTAGTGTCAAAAATAAAAGTGCAAAGGGCTATGCTTGAATAACTATCTTACTAATAATAAAAATAAAGATAATACAGAGCCACTATATTAAAGGATGTACTGTGGTCATATTACAAGTAGTGGTGATTATTATCTTTCTGTGTTTTATGCCCAACAGCTCTCATCTACTGAATTTAGGAGTAAACACAGGCTCCATTTCTGCTGCACAGCCAGTTGGTTCTTTAGGGATTAGACATGCAGCTCTGATCTTCCTGGGACCAAACTCTAACCCAAGGAGCTGAAGTCATAGCTCTTCGCAAAAGAACATCAAGCTAATGGCAAATCGCCATCAAAGAGCATGTTTTGCTTTGAAGTAAGTAAATCTGAAGTTATTTACAAAGCAACTGGAAAAGGAGAAGCTAATTTCATGGAATCAAAGAGAAATTCTAAATATTAGGTGTGCTAGCAGTTGCAGCAGTGAGCAAATTTATAGATTCAAGGGATACAAAGCTGGAAGGAAATGACAATGTAAAGAAGGAAAAAAGTTGACAATAAGACAACAGCATCTGTTCTAAATGTTTCACTGAGATACAACCACTGGAAAGCAGAGACAGGTTAAGGAAACTGAGTAACAGTAGGACATGTCTGAGTTGTCATTAGGACTTAATCCTTTAATCTAGGATAATTTTGCTAGAGAGAGCCTCATCTTCAGAAACCACTCATTGTGTGTGGAGTTACCAAAAAGAAAATGACAATGTCACTCAACAACAAAGAAAATAAACAATTTTAGAATTTTCCTCCACACATTATACCCAACACAGTTGTCTGCAAATATAAGGAGGGACACCAAAAAACCGGAATTATCTTTCAGAGGGCAGGTCCCGTATAGTACAGGTTTTTCTTGCTAGGCAAGTGCTCTAGGAACACATCAGCATTTGTGTACAAGCCAGCATTGTAAGTGGCTACATTCAGCTTCAGTGAATTATTTTTGGAGATTCTGCCAATGTGTTTGCCCATTTCATGAAGAGTGATTCACAAGTGCACCTACTCACACATCACTGAGTGTTCAGCAGTTTTTTTTTTACCATAAACTGCATGACTCCCATGCCCTACCCTCCCTATTCACCCAATCTCACCCCCAAGCAACTTTTTTTTGTTTCCCCAGATGAAAAAAGTCTTTGAAGGGAAACATTTTGCCGATGTGGAAAAGGTGAAACACAAAATGGCAGAAACACTAAAGTGCATCAAAATACATGAGTTCAAAAACTGTTTTGAGCAGTGGAAAAAGCATCACAATAGGTATATTGTATCAAACAGAGAGTACTCTGAAGGTGATTGAAGTTTAAACACGTAAGAATAAATACACAATTTTAAACAAATAAATTTCAGGTTTTTTGGATTCCCCCCCTTATAAGCAAGTATCCAACAATTTCTTGTACAATAGATGAATTGATAAAGAAATGACTGCATGAATAGTACGGTAGCAACAAAAACTAAATTTGGGGAAAAGGTAGATCCATTTTTTTTTTTTGAGTTGGAGTCTTAGTCTGTTGCCCAGACAGGAGTGTAGTGGCCACTCCCGGCCACCGTAGCCTCAACCTGCTGGGCGCCGGCGATCTTTCCGCCTCAGCCTTCCAAGTAGCTGGAAATACAGGTACGCGCTACCACACCCGGCTAATTTTTTGATTTATTGTAGAGATGAGGTCTCACCAAGTTGCCCTGGTGGCTATCAAACCCACGGGCTCAGGCAATTCACTCACCTCAGCCTCCCAAGGCGCGGGATTACAGGCTGAGCCACGGAGCCTGGCTAGATCCATTTTTAAATAATAGATCCAATATGTTGTAGCTCGAGCAAGCGTCTTAATTTTTCTAAGGTTCATTTTCTTTCTCCTCTGAAGCAATGAAATTAACACCATACTTGATTAATTTGTTTGGTGTGGGTATTGAATGAAAAACTGTCTGTAGATAACGGTATATGACACATTAAATGCTCCATAAATAGCTGATCTTATTATCACTATTTTCTGAGCTGGGCATGGTGGCTCACACCTGTAATCCCAGCACTTTGGGAGGCTAGGAGGTGGGAGGATTGCTTGAGGCCAGGAGATCGAGACCTGTTTGAGGTTGTTGTTGTTGTTTTTACAGAAAATAGAAAGATCCCACCTCTACAAAAAAAAAAAAAAAAAGATTTCAAAAAAGTAACCATGTGTGGTGGTGTAGTGAAGTTTGAATTCAAGGCTGTAGTGAAAAACTGAAAGTTTTCTAGAGAATCATTTTGTGAATTTTTTCCTTTTGTGATAATTATTTAAGAAATACCAGTATATTCTGATTTTCAAAGTGGTAACTGTATTATTGATTTCCCCATAAATTTCATTCAATGTTTTTATATGCGTGCCTTATGCTCACATTGGCTGCAAGTTTTGCTACTTTTATCATCAGTTGAGAGGGAAGACATAATATATAAACGATGTTCCCAAGTTAAAAGCAAATTAATTTACAGCACAATGTTCACAAGGAGGCTGTAAATAGAGGATGCAAAGGTGCAAACAGAGAAAGTGGAGGGAGAACTGAGTCATGATGAGGTACAGGGAGCATTGGGCATCAGTCCCAGCCATCACCCTGTGTCCTACACTGAAGCTATCTCAGCATCAGAAAACAGCACTATCCTTCACAGTTAATTACTGTTGTTGATTTGAATGACATTGGTATTTTTAAGGATCTACTCTGAAGCAGATACTTTGCTAAACTCTGGGAATCTAAAAATAAATAAGATCCTGAAGTCAACTATAAAATAACTAAAGACTGCTGTCAAGGTTTTCCATAAAAAGAAACAATTCGCTTGAACAGCTATTTAAAGAGCTAAAAAAAAAGTCACAATCAGTATCCATTTGGCTTCTGCAACATGTCCTGCTGACATTAATTTCAGTCAGAGATAAGCAGCACTTACTGTACGCACATCCGTACACTTCGATCCGCATCCCAATCCTACCCTTGGGGTTCCAGGATAAAGGGAGGAAGCGCAGGAACCTGGCTTCAAAGGGGGAATGGAGTCTGTAGTGCATCACGCTGTCTGCATTTGTGTTCCCTGAAAAACCCTAGGAGAAAAAGGAGAAAGGGATCAGTATATCTGCAGAATAATGTCTCCATGTCAATGAGCAATGCCTCTTTAACTTTATTAATACACATAAAGCTGCATTCTTTAAGAAAACTCTGCTAATGTTTAAACAAAGATATGAGAACCTCTCCTTAGTCTCTGGATTAGTTACCATTGTCTATATTTTCCTTATTCCCGGGGTAGTTTGAACTTCATCAGCACAATTAAACCAGCTATAAACAGGCTACCCTTAAAGGTCTGCTTTTAGAAAGCTGCTTATCCCCAAACCTTTCCCCTAACCTCCAAGCACTCAAGACACTCCATGCAACCACATCATCCAGGGCAATCAAACACGATGGTAATCTGTAAGGTGCACGGTAAGAACCCTAGACCCTAGAATTTGAGAACTACAAGGGACCTGGAAAGCATTTTATTTCAAAACCCTTTTTAGAATTGTCAAACCAAAGTCTAGGCAGGTGAAACTCCCTGGAGGTATAATAGCTAAGACCCAGCATAGCCAGGACTAGATCTCAGAGCTTGGATTTCAATCCCAGTGTTTTTCTGTATTGCCCATGTCACCAGAACTGAGGAGAAGACTCACAGAAACACACCACCTTAATCTGCTCTGAGACCAAGGAGTGTGCTACTTAGTCAAGGCAATCTGGCTTTATGTTAAGAGGAGCCACAGGAGCACAACAGAAGTTGGCATGAAGAATGTATGGCTCATTTTCGTGTTTTTCTTTACTGTCAATATCAGCATATGCGGGGAACCACAAAAAAGGATAGTTGTTACTATATATACAGTACAGATTTATTCTGGCAAACTCATTGATGATTTCATCCATTTTTAAAAGTAAAGCTCCAAACATAGGAGCACCAACTTTCATAAAGCAGTTACTAGGTAAACTAAAAAAAAAGATACTGACTCTAACATTATCATAACTGGGGATTTAAACATCCCACTAACAACCTTACACAGATCATCAAGACAAAAAGTCAACAAGGAGATCTAGAACCTCAACAAGACGCTTGACCAAATGTACTTAATTGACACCTACAGAACACTCTACCCAACAGCCATGAAATGTACATTCTACTCATCTCTACATGGAACATATTCTAAGATCAATCACATTCTCAGACATAAACCAAGCATAAATGAATTCCATAAGATTGAAATTCTTCTATGTACCTTCTCAGACCCCAGTGGAATAAAAATAAATATCAGCACCAACAAAGTTCCCCAAATCTCACAAAGACTTGGACACTAAACACCATGATGTTAAACAACTCCTGGATCAACACAGAATTCAAAACAGAGATTAAAGACACCTGGAAAAAATGAAAATGAAGAAATATCTTACCAAAATCTCTGGGATGCGAGGAAATCAGTACAAAGAAGGGAATTCATATCTCTAAGAACATGCATGAAGAAAATGGAAAGATCACAAGTTAACAGTCTAACAAATCACCTAAGGAAGTTGGAAAAGCAAGACCACCAAAACCCTAACTTCAGCAGAAGAATCCAGGTCACCAAAATAGAAGCCCAAATCCAGGACATAGAAGACAAAAATATAATACAAAAAAGAAACTAAAAGATGGTTTTTTGAAAGGATAAATAAGATTGATGAACTTCTAGCTAGACTGACCAAGAAAAAGAGAGAAAAGACCCAAATAAACACAATCAGAAATGCAAAAGATGAAGTTATAACTGACCCTGAAGAAATACAAAAGATTATCAAAGATTGATATGTACACCCGTATGGAAATAAATTCGAAAACCTAAATGAAATGGAGGACTTTCTGACATCACACAACCTCCCAAGGTTGAAACAAAAAGAAATTGAGACTCTAAATAGACCAATAACAACCTAGGAAATCAACTACGTTATAAGAGTACTACCTACAAAAAAAAGCCCTGGACTGGATGGCTTTCCAGCAGAATTCTACAAAACATACAAGGAGAAGCTGATACCAATCCTATTGAAAGAACTCCAGGCAATTGAGAAAGATAGAACTCTCCCGAAACCATTTTATGAAGCCAACATCACATTGATACCAAAACCAGGTAAAGATCCAACTAAGAAAGAGAACTACAGGCCAATATCCCTAATAAACATAGATGCAAAAATTCTCAACAAAATTCTAGCAAACTGGATCCAACAACACATCTCAAAAATCATCCACCATGACCAAGTAAGCTTCATCTCCAGGATGCAGGACTGGTACAAAATCTGGAAGACCATAAACGTAATTAAATACATCAACAGATATAAAGACGATAACTACATGATTATATCATTAGACATGGAAAAAACTTTTGATAAAATTCAACACCACTTCTTGATAAAAGTCCTCAAATATCTAGGCATAAATGAAACATACCCCAAAATAGCAAGAGTCATCTACAAGAAACACACAGCCAACATACTACTTCAGACAGAAATTGGAACCATTTCCCCTGAAAACCAGAACAAGACAAGGATGCCCACTCTCACCCCCCCCCCGGTTCAACATAGTAATGGAAGTTCTAGCTATCAGACAAGAGAAGGAAATCATGGGTATCCAAATAGGAAAAGAGTAAGTTAAGTTATCCCTCTTAGCAGAACAAATGATTCTATACCTCGAAAACCCAAGAGAATATGTCAAATGCCACCTTGCACTGATAAAGGACTTTGGCAAAGTCTCAGGGTATAAAATAAATGTGCAAAAGACAGCCACATTTCTGTACACTATCGATAAGCAAATGGAAATTCAAATTAAAAGCACAATCCCATTCACAATAGCCACAAAAAAATAAAATACCACCTGCATAATGAACATTTGTATACCTAACTCTGAATTGTACCCCACATATTTAAAGTAAAAAAAATTATATAAAAAAGAAAAAAAAAGTGAAATACGTTGGCATCTTCCTAAAACAGAGAAGTCAAAGATCTTTACAATGAAAACTACAAAACACTGCTCAAAGAAATAAAAGATGACACAAACAAATGGAAGAGTATTCCATGCTAATGGACTGGAAGAGTCAACATCATTAAGATGTCCATCCTACCCAAGGAAACCTACAGCTTTAACACAATACACATTACATTACCAGCAGCATTCTTCTCAGACCTAGAAATGACAATACAGGAATTCATATGGAAACATAAACAACCACAAATCACCAAAACAATCCTCAGAAAAAAAATAAATAAATAAAGTGGGAGGCAGCCTTCTCCCTGACTTTAAGCTTTATTACAAAGCTACGATAATCAAAAGAGTCTGGTATTGGCACAAGAACAGGCATATAGACCAATGGAACAAGATAGAGATTCCAGAAGCAAAACCTCAATTTCTCAACCAACTCATCTTCCACAAGGCCTCCACCACCAACCACTGGGACGAGGAGAAGCTATTCAGTAAATGGTGCGGGGAAAACTGGCTGGCCACAGGCAGAAGATTAAAAAAAGACCCCTACCTATCACCATACACAAAAATCAAATCTAAATGTAAAACATCAAACTATAAGAATCTTAGAAAATGCAGAAGATACCCTTATGGAAATTGGAAATGGCAACCAATTCCTGATCAAAACTCCAAGTGCTCATGCCATAAGAGATAAGATAGATAAGTGGGGCCTCACCAAACTGAAAAACTTCTGCAATGCCAAAGAAACCATCAAGAGAGCAGGGAAGCCAGGCTCGGTGGCTCAGCCTGTAATCCCGCGCCTTTGGGAGGCTGAGGTGAGTGGATTGCCTGAGCCCGCGGGTTCGAGACCCGCCTGGGCAGCGAGACCTCATCTCTACAATAAATCAAAAAATCAGCCGAGTGTGGTAGCACATGCCTGTAATTCCGGCTACTCGGAAGGCTGAGGCGGAAGGATCGCCGGAGCCCAGCAGGCGAGGTTGCGGTGGCCGGGAGTGGCCACTGCACTCCAGTCTGGGCGACAGAGTGAGACTCCAACTCAAAAAAAAAAGAGAGCAGGGAGACAGTCCACAGACTAGGAAAAAATATTTGCCAACTGTATATCTGACAAAGGCCTAACATCTAGGATCTACAAGGAACTCAAACATACCAAAAAGAAAAAGTAAACAGTCCCATTACAAAGTGGGCAAAAGATATGGATAGATACTTCTCAAAAGAAGACATGAGCAGCCAACAGACACATGAAAAAAATGCTCAATGTCACTAGTCATCAAAGAAATGCAAATTAAAATCACACTGAGATACTACCTAACTCCAATCAGGATGGCCATCAATAACTTAAAAAACAACAGATGCTGGAGAGGATGTGGTGAAAAGGGAACACTTCTACACTGTTGGTGGGAGTGTAAACTAGTAGAACATCTATGAAAAACAGTGTGGCAATTCCTAAAAGTTCTAAAAATCGACCTGCCATACAACCCCGCAATCCCCTTACTGGAAATATACTAAGAGGAAACAAATCACTCTATGGAAAAGATACCTGCACACGCATGTTTATTGTGGCATTATTCACAATAGAAAAAAACATGGAGTCAACCATACTGCTCATTGAAAGAGGACTGGATAATAATAAATGTGGTACATATTCATGATGGAATATTATGCAGCCATAAAGAAGGACAAAATTATGAACTTCAAAGCAACTTGGATGGATTTAGAGGCTATAATACTGAGTGATCTATCACAGAAACAAAGAACTTAGTATCACATGTTCTCACTCATAAGTGGACCTTGAACAACTTTCATAATACTATAAGAAAAAAATTAAAAATAAGTAAATAAATAAATAAAAGTAAAACTTACATATATGCAAGAAAGCCTACAAAACATAGCACACACCCCAATGCACAAGGGAATGTATTCCTTATACAGCTTCTCCACCCCATCCTGGCAAGTCTCTATTTAACATTATTCACTGAAATGTTCTGGGCTTTTAAGTGAAAAAAACATGGAGCAGGGGGTCAGGTAAAATGAGTTAAGTTACCTCCTATTATGAATTCATTCTCTACACATCCCTAAAGTATTACCAATCTCAGAAAGCATTAATGCTGACATCAATCGTTCAGAAATTTTAGGAATGACTGGAAGTTCACCACAACCCATTTGTAAACAAGTTCCCTCATCTCTGCCTCCAAAATCCATTCCTGTTATGTGCTCTTCTCTCCACCTCCACCCGAACTCCAGAATCTATAACACCCCAGAGCAGGGCCTGAAGTCATCTCCTGATAGACCAAGACTTCAAGTTTTTGCCCTTGGTATTCTAGAATTATAGGATCAAGTTTCTGACCTTGAAGATTTATATTCTTTTTTAAAATTATTATTAAATTATTCATTGGATTTTAATTGGTCAATTTATTTAAGAATTAATGACTGCTGAAAAGCCACCAACTCTCTTTGGTGGGATCTAAAAGAATCACTGGAAAGACCCTCTTAGAGCCATAGTCACAGTGTAATATGAGTCATCACAACTCTATGTCAAAGTCAGCAAATGCGTATGTGTCATTTTAGGTTAAAAAATCTATGTCTTAAGAGGACTGTTACATCAATTCTATATTTCAAAATAAGAGGACGCTGCTTACAGAATAAGTCTCAATGATTTTAAAAATAAATATTAATTCTCTACTATGTGCCACTCTAATAATCACAGATTCCTAGTTCAACTTGAGAGTTGTTTGCATTTTAAGACCTCTTGGGAGAAAAGAAGGACATTGCTGAGATTAAGATATGCACAGGGGTCCAGTTCTCATTCTGGCTCTTTTTAGGTGCTAGATCATGATGATTTTGAAAAAGACAATCTCCCAGTTCCTTATAAGTAATGTGGGAATAATAAATTATTATTGAAAATATTAATTCTTTGAACCTGTTATTTCCAGAGGCTCACAGACAATGAAAGTGTGTACTAAAAGTATTTCCTATAACTAGACTATACAATAAGCTGTACTTAATAATTGCTTTAGAGCAAATGCCTTTGTTATAAATTATTTCTTAGTATTTATTGAGCAGCAAAACACTATAAATTTATACATAAATAAAATAAGAAAAGCATCCTCATTTTACTTTAGTTTTATTGGATGAACTAAAAATCCAGTTTACAGCTGTGAAACAGAGCAGGGATAGGACTTGGCCTCCCTCACATACTTTAACCACCAGACTTTACAGCAACACTCAGATGGAGCCATCCTACAGACCACAACCTTGAAAAAAACCTGTTGAGATAAGCAATGTTTCACCATAAATCTTGCTTGAGAAAACAGTCTCCTGTCTGCCCCTCTCCAGAGGGTATCCAATTATAACCCTCGCTTCATTATAATACTAAAATCCCCACCCCATGTGGGTGTATTCACCATTTTTTGTACATGTGACATATGAAGAAGTGTGTATCTACACTATGCTCACACAGTTAGAATCCCTCCCTAATCATGCTAACCTACCTTTCCTTTTATGTTACACCCCTTCCCTTATCTAATAAAAGGCCCCAGCTTCGAAGAGCCAGCTCTTCCTTCTGAGCTGTGTCCTTTATACAAGCCCCCAGAAAGGCCTTGTCTGGGAATCTGTCTGGCCGTGTGCCAATTTCTATTACATGAGTGCCTAAGAACCTGTGGTTCATAACAAAAGGGCTACCTGTGTGATATGGAACAAGTCACTCATCCTTGAGATCTCAATATATCCAGAACATGGTGCTGCAAACAGGTGAGTTTCTTTCAACACATTCTACAAAGTAAATAATCTCTCCTTTTGCATTATTGAAACAGGCAAGCATGTATATAAACTGCATGTAATGGTTTTTTTCCCAAGCATTTATTCTGTCATGATAAGTTCAAACTGTAGTCAACGTATTGGAAAGAGTATGCAGTTAATAAGTGTTCCACGGTGGGCAGGCATACGCAGACCTACTGCCAGAGATCCAAGGAAGCTGAGAAACTGAAGAAAGAGGCTGACATATCCAGTTTCTCAGAAAGAAATATTTAATAGGCAAGACCAGATGGTGGATCCAAGACTTATATGCCACAGAGAAGGAATGTGCAGGACAATTGAAGACCACCCCTCAGGGAAAGACAAGGAAGGCATGTGAATCTGCTTAATGGCAGGATTCATGGTTTGTATGTCCTCTTACAAGGAACACTAGAGAAACAGAAAACTTAGAGGCATTCCCAGAACTGGGGTTAATCAGATGTCATGAAGGATCAGCATCCAAGATGTAGTTGCTTTAGCCTCCATGATAAACGTTTACCAGTGTGGGTTAGAACCTCTAAGTGGAAGCAAGTCACAGAGTCAATCTAGTGAGTGAGCAAAAAGAGACAAATCTGTGTTGCACTGCCTTCTCCTACAGCAAGAAGGGTCCTGCCCCATGGATGGGCACAGCACCATGATATAGTGATCCAGAGAGTCTGGACTAGAAGCAATCCAAAACCGCAGGCCCATGCAGATATAGACAACAGGATCCTACAGGCTGCTTTAATTGGCCCGTTTTAAAAACCTGTGTTGTTTAAAGAATTGCAATGTAAGTATTATTAAAATGTTGTTGAAAGAAAGTATTTTTACAACACAATGTTAATTTTCACTGCCCAGTTTTATCTCCCGTTTCAAATATTAAACAAAGAAAGACAGGTTCTCCTTACTCTGCAGGAAAAACAGTAATGCTTTCTCAGTATTGTTCCCTTCTAATCCTTGCAAATGATCAGAATGAACACATTTTATAAGATATTTAGAAACCTAATGTTTGCTGGCAAAAAGGTTGGAAATAGAGGAAAAGCCAGAAAAAAAAAATTTCCGATGACATCAAATCCATATTTTAATGACAATGTATGACCATGAAAAACAATGCTAGAATCATTGAAAGTGCAAAGTGTATATAATTTAATACATAGGCACACATTTATGTTTTGCAAAATGAATTAGCTCCTCCCCATGTTTAAAGAGTAATATAAAATAATAAAATAAAGTGTACCTAGGATTATAAAAAATGTCTCAAATAAGTGTTTAATAGTGAGGACGTCTAGAGGCAACTTCAGAGAACTGTTTGTTCAGGACTGTATAAAGTACTTAACTGTGAATCTAGACACAATTTTGAGGGCATTCTTTAACAATTCAGACTATGGTGAGAACCATAGTACCCCATTAGCTTCCTGTACTTGTTAAATATAGCAACATATATAATAGATTATTTAGACTAAGTCTAGAAATATTTTTCATTGAGAAGTGCTGATGACTTTAAAGTGATATCAGCATGTGTTTAGTTCAACATTAAACTCATCCACAGGTAAGGAATTTATTTAAATTATCAATAGAATCAGCCTGTGGTGGATTTGTTGAGTGATTGACCAGTGAGTTTCTCCTAGTTCTCAGAGCCCACAATCCATTACATTCATAAACCTCAGCATTTTACAAAGTGCAGATGGTATGTTAGTGTCATGCCTAGAATGAATTAGTCACTATTGTCTAAGTCTGCCTTATTTCCAGGGTAATTAAATTTCATCCAAGACCAGTCTGGTTCTAGCAAGTAGAAAACACTTGTTATAATATCATGAATTCTTCAAGCTCAACTCATATCTGCTGGCTTGAATTCCACCAAGAGTGTCCAAAAGAGAAGGACCAAGGTGTGGCTCTCAGCACTGACCATTCTTACCCACATCCCCCCCAACACACCAAGGTTCACCTAACACATACTTGTGAACGGACATGATTTAAGGGCTAACAGGTCCATCGATAGGTCTGGCCATTCTCGCCAGAGGAGGTTTCTTGTTCTGCCCTATAGACAGAGCTCGGTTACTGGTGCCTTGGAAAAGTTCATCTCTAGACACACTACTCTTAAGGAATTCCAGTGCTTCCCACTATGGGGCATTACTTATTTTTCCAAATGTGCCAGATTAAACAGCTAGCCAGGGAATGCCCAGAGGTCTTTGTCGCTCTTAGTGAAAATCATGACCATGTGTTCCCCTGGTTGTCTCCTCCTCAGGAGCAGAGCCCTTGGGCCTCAGAAGGATGCAGGGTGTTCTGCCCACCTCGGCACAGACCCCATCCAAGTGCGTTCACATAAGAAACCAAGGGCATTAAACCAGATCATATTATTTACATAAATAATAGACTGAGATTGAAGGAAAGCTCCAAGGTAAAAAAAAAAAATGATCGAAGAAAAGGAAAATAAAACATCAGAAACTAAAGAGAAAGTCCATGGTTCCTGTGTGGAACAGCAATGCCATCATAGTCCTAAGTTGGCCGTGGAAAGCCACATGCAAGGCAGGCCCTTGGCTTTTTTCTGAAAATTTCGTTCTTGAGAGGGTTCCCAGAATGTAAAAGTGGCTTGCTGTTGCCTAAGCTGTTTGGACAAACAATGTGATTTATGGTGAACGTTTCCTTTCCTTCTGGGAGTCTGCAATTTTTGTATGTGCTATGCAGTGGATGCCTATGTGACGAGTCCTCCCATAGAAACCCTGGACTCCTTGGCTCAGGCTAGCGTCGAGTTTATCAACATTTCATGTGTGTACTCACAACTCAATTCTGAAGGAACTGTGCTCCTCTGTACTGGAATAGGAATCTGGGAAGCCTGTGTCTGATTTCCTCCCGACTTTGCCCCACGCGCCACTTTCCTTTGCTGACAGTGCTTTGTATCCTTTAATTGTAATGACTAGAGCCTGAGTCCCGTGAGCCCTCCTAGTGAATCACTCAACTTGAAGTGGTCTTGGAAACCCCTGATACAGTCAAACAGAATCACCAGAGGCAAAGAATCAAGAGCTGAATCCTGCCTAGGGAAGTACCCTGTAGGGCACATGTTACCTTCATGAGAACTGAACTTAAGTGGCTCTTACACTACATTCCTTCCTCCACCTGTCACAGATGTGCCTTAAACACTAAAGGACTCTTCCACTGCACTTTCACACTCTAGCAATCAATCACACAACACAGGAAACCTTGTCATGCTTGCAACTTCTGAGGACAATTCTATGTGACTTTCTCAAGACTTTGCTCATGAGGTTATTTCCTTGCTTTTGAGACTGAGATTATTATTGTGCTTATAATAAAATATGCAAACAAATAAATATGTTGATGTCTTTACTAACTGTGAGATTTTGATAGACTGCAGTAGCTTATAGGTATAGGATTAATCTTAGATAGGCCAAAGCCAAATAAAAGAGAAACAGGCAAGCATCAAAAAACTTCACACTAATAATGTTAGATAACTTGAAGAAAAGCTTTGTTTTCCAGCAAATCATTCCAGACCCAGCCTAAACCAAAGCACCTAAAACTGGCCAAAGATGCCACTCAATGACAATTTAACTGAGAGACATTACCACTGACCTAGTCCTTCTAAAACCTAATTCTGAGAACTTCTGAATGAATTTTTTTACTTATTTCAAAAGGCTAATTGTTCATTTTAATATTGGGGGGAAATACTCAATCCTACAAAAGTGGGAATAAAACTATCCCATTCAAAATTTTCTTCTCAAATAAAAATACTTGGATTCATCCTATTCTGTGCTTATAAGGGAAACATACCTTCTATTTTAAGGTTTTGCTATTGTTTATACAAAAAAATAGTCATTTCTGAGTGGTAGTCATAATTCTGCATTCAAATAAAGTGTTAAATAAGATGTAGTGAAACATGTTCAAAATATAAATTAAAATTAAAGAACTGTTTTACAACTAATTGCATATCTAAAGCTGTTCTGTTAGTTTGGGTGACAAAATAAAGATGCTTTTGTCTTGGCATTTTAAATTTGAGTGAGTACTAGCTAACTATAAGATGTTCAGGTGAACAAAGAAATACAGAAGATGAACTATAAAGAACAACATGAATGAACAAAATCAACTTTATAATTACTGGGCAAATTACAATGTATGATTTGAATTACTACCTGAAATGGTCACTCTCTCTCAAAACGTCCCTTGAATTCCTCCCCATAGTGTCTGAGGGGCCATAATGACATAGAAATGTTGATTCACTCCAAGTCTTGAAACCTTTTCAATCTTAAGAAGTCTCTTGTGGGACATAACTACCCTTTTGTGGCACTCTCATAAGGTAGGGTCTGTCATCCATTTCTTCAGTTGACATCGTACTTCCCCACAGTGGTGAGAAAGTACCTCATTGGGCTCTGCAGAGGGAGGGTGAGCAAGGGAGGGGCAGCTGCCTTCCTAGAAGAGGTTACATTACTGCATCAGTAATTCCAACCTGGGACCACCTGACACAGATGGAGTCAGGGAAAAATGCCAGTGTTTCATACATGAAGAGCAAAGTAAGATACACAGAATACTGTCTTTAACTGCTGTGCTGCTCTGCCTCGGGCTGGTTCTGTGGACAGAGCATAAACCATGTGGAAAGATTATGCCCAGGTAAGTGGATTTACACTGCATATTTCTAAGATAGTGTTATGGCCTTACAATTTTTCACTTTTATTGTGTAAGTGTCTCTGCTCCAAATACATTTCAGAGAAAAATCTTAAGTGAGCATTCAAAGAAAGCAATACAAATGTACTATAGTGTGATCAAGTGGACATTTTAACAATTTGTAATTACATTTCTACTATATAAGTTGCTTCACACTTCACAAGGTGGGCTTATTAGGAGTCAGATAAATTCATGAAGGTGTGCAACCTCTATTATATTTCTGTCCTGGGCTATTTTTCTTTCAAAATTTTATAGCTGCTTAAGAGATGACTTTGAGGGAAAATACTTTAGCTAATTTTTATTTTAAATACTCACTTCTAATATCATAGAAATATTGAAAGATACAATTATCCTGTTCCCCTTGCTTATGGGAAGCTTTTCGGTTTGTATTTTTGAGTGTGCTATGGTATTGAAAATGGTATATGGGAGATGTCCTAACACAAGGATGGAATTTTAGGTTCACTACCCATCTCTCTCAAGGGTCTAATTACACACAAAGTAGCAGCTGACATCCTCTGCTCCTTCTGTACAGAGCTCTGCCTTTCCTATCATCAAACCTGCCTCACATCCTCTGAGCCTCAGGTAGTTTACAAGCCCCATGGGATCTGTGTTTGTATTCCTCGTTTCTAAGTTGGACCCACTAGAATCCCAGAGACCACAGAGCTGTCTGTAGGGTCCTACGACCCCCCTCCAGGAGAATAAAGGAGAAGGTGGATGGGAGCCCTCGAGAGTGCTCAGGGCTCTGCCTCCAGGCTCCCCGCCAACACTGGTCTATGCTCTTCCCTCAACTCAAGCCACTGACTCTCAGGGGGAAGTGACGGATGCTCAGAAACTGTAAGCTCCTTAGATCCTCTGCCCACATTTGAGGTACACATGAACTTAGTGAGACAGTGATGCATTCTGTGGAGGGGAACAGACAATACTTTTTAAGTTAAAAGATTCAATGCAGAGTTCCAGACCTGTTATGATTCCAACCGTGTATAAATTTCTTACCCTCCTTGAACTTCCATTCTTTCTGGGAAAAATAGAGGTGATGGCGAGTGCCCCTGGTGCCAACTCCCATTCCAACCCCCAGGAAAGAAGAAGCTTTAGTGTTTTACACACCATGTATATAAAAGTGCATGTGAGTTCTCTGGTCAAGGACTAGTGGAATGAGGCAACGGAGAAAAATATATAGTTAAAGAAGAAACAATAAAAGAAAAAGAGGCATTCTTTTCTTTGAGATAATAACAAATGCACTTGAGGAGTTCAAAAAGCACCAGGACCTGGGAGCTCCGGAGCCCAGTCTTGTGTATGCCATAACCACCATGGAAACCGCAACAGAATATTGAGTGTTTCCATGATGCAGCTCCATTAACTAACAGAAAACTAATGTCCTCTCCCTAACTTTCAGAGAACTCAAGATTGTATGTTTTGGAACCTTACTGAGCAATACTAAAGTTTTGTTTCTCTTGCTCTGGGGAAGGTAAATATGCTCGAGAATGAGAATAAAGAATGAAGATAATATTGTCAGAAAATAGATACCTTAATTCTACATATATGCAGCCTAGGAAAGCTGGATAATTTCCTAAACAGTCTTTCTAGAAGGCTCCCCAGGTCCCAGTTATAATAGGGTATGAGATAATCCACCCGGATAATGGCTCACCTTGGGTTCAGTTTCTCTTTGCTCCCACTTTTAGTTTTATTCTTCACATTCACCTTGATACTGGTGACCATCAACCATGGTTTATGATTAGAAAAATCCTACCATGCAAAGAGCACTAGGATGAGGAACTTGCACAACAAATAACTTAAAATTAAATAACTTTTTTAAATGAATTAAAAGATGTCACAGATATTCAGTAATGCACCAGCAGATATGTAACTAAAACTCTGCACAAGTGCATCCCTCAGATCCATTAGCACTTAAAATTTATTGAAAGATTTTTATGCCAAGTAATTGTAATTTAACTTATATAATTTTGGTATGTCTTAAGAAAAAGACAAATATATTTCCCATGATTAAATTGTTTTATTACTATGAAAAAGTTACTTTGACCTTTGTACTTTGTATTTACTGGAGCGTGATTTTTAGTCTCATTTTACAAACTGCATTAACTATAAAACAGTGATATACTATGGTACCAGCGATTCAGAAGTCATCAATGTAGCTTAAATGCCAACCTGCTTACAGAGGATTTAAGTGGTTCACATGCTCTTAAGAGTTGTAAAGTATTGCTTGTTATATATATTGGCCATATACTTATTTCATACAATTTTTGTGAATTAAAGATTATTCTGCAAAAATTAGTATAGCTGTTCTTTCCTTTAAACATCACTCTGATGATTTTTCCTAGGA